GTTTACTTGTTGGTATAGTGGCTATGGTTTTTATACCAACAAGTGAGGTCTATCTGTCATAATACAAGAAAGGAAGCATGATATAAAAAGTTATCCCGGAATATGTTAGTACATAATGTCCTGTATACGTACCATATCATAAATATGTTAAACAAATATTGGATGTACAAATGAAAATCAAACTTGTAATTGTATGTGAAAATGACTACACTTGAAATTATATATACACATATATCAAACGATAAAAGTCTAAGATATACAATATAGATAGAGGACCACTAGAACATTATAATGATAAATATATGACCCATTCATATAAGTCTATACTATATAAAAAAACAAGAGAACACATCATCATGAAATTAAAACATTTTAGAAAAAAATCAAATTTTAAGACATACTTTTAATTGTTCAGACTATAGTAGGATGTCTCTGAAGTCACTTGCATAAGCTAATATTGAAACACTCTACTATTCATAAAAATAAATTGATTAATTTTCTTTTTCGCATACGTAGAATATCATTGTCAAAATGTTATCTTGAGAAATGAACTCTTAGTAGAATTTCAATACTATTCGATTTGATTCAAATATTTAAATTTAATATTATAAATAAAAGCATTAAACAAAATTCTTTCGATATCTAAATTGTTAGATTTAACTAATATTTGTTTTCATATCGAATGATTTAATAAAAAAAAAAAAAGAAAGAACCGATGTTAGTTTTGAATAATATTTGTCCAGTTAATTTGTGTAAATAAATACTATGTGATTTTTTGAATTAAATTGTAGAAATTTTGTTGTTACTATTGAAGGATAAACTAAAATTTGCTACATCTTTCGTAAATCAGCATATTACAAAGTCAACTATTAATATAATTGTTAATATTTATTTTGTTTTTCTTAGACATGTTGAAAATGATCTTCAACCTCTTGAACAATCTAAACTTGAATTAATTGGAAAAAATTATCATCTCGAAAGGTTAATTATCTATTTTTTTTTATAAGAATAATTTTCATTTACTCAGAAAAATTATTTTTAGTAAAAATGAACCTGAATTAATCAATTTATTAACAAAAGTGTCTGATATTCAATCTCGTCTAGCTGATAAACTTGTCGAACATCGAACATATTTAAATGTATATAATAAAATCGGAAAAACAAAATTAACAGATGAGTCAAAAATTTTTGCATTAATTTTGTTTATGGCTTTAAAAAGAAATATTCTAGAGACTTGATTCTTTTTTGTTAGAAAGAGTAAAATATCTAATGCAAAAAATCATAAAATAATTTGATTGGAAATATTTTCTGAAGTTTAGAAAAAAATCTTAGAATAAAACGTATCATAAAAATCTGTCGCAATATTTTTGAATTTAGAAAAAGAACTTCATTCAAGAAAAAAGTTTTTCTTTTCCAAATTAAGAAATGTGCAGCTTCAGTTTACTCACCATCGATATCACCGACTGAGTGTAGTTAACGTTCACCATTACAAAAATGGTATAGCTTGATTCTTCATGTTGCAGTGAACACGGACATCAATGTAATCAGTATCGTCGCTGACTTTGCGTCAATGACTCATTGCCGGTATTTACATCAAAATTGCACATTCCTATCCAAGTTTCATAACATAAAAATAAGGAGCTATTACTCTACTAAAAAGAAAGAGAAATATTCTATGCGGTTTACAATAGCAGATAAGAACTATATTATAGCAATTTCTGGTATCCCTGGATTTTCGTAAATAGTGATCATAGTCAAATAACTAAATTCTATTTCAAATGAGAAATTGTTAGAAGATTTACATAGTATATTGAAAACAATACTTATCGAACCCTCCTACTCAATAGTAGTATTTGGAATAGGATACAAATTTTCGGAAAGTTATTCAGACAAAACTTTATTTTTACGTGATAAACACCAAATTGAATTTTTAATTAAACCATCTGTTGTTTTGTCTCTTGTACAACATGATTTACTTATTGCTATCAGTTTTCTTCAATTTACTATATTTCTGCAAAATTTCAGAAGTTTTTTTATCTTTATATGGTTGAATAGCGTGTTGATTTATCTATCGATTCATATAATTTTAGTCTAATTTAACTGAGCTTTTATAGATCAATTTTGGATTATGCAAATAGCACTAAAAGCCTTGGTTTTTTTTTCATTAGTACAAGATTGCCTAAAACTTCAATAGGGAAATTAATTTTTCTCATTTAAATTCAAAACGTTTTCATTCAATACTTTCTGTAATAAAATTTTGATCAAGATACGAAATCAATCAAATTAAAACTATATATAGCTCGATAGAGTAATTGAAGAAAACTAGTAAAAATAAATAAATTATACTATACATTAGAGTAATTATTTTACTATTACACGAAAGCCATTTTTGTCATGTATAGTTATATATATAGATACTGCTGGAAATATCAAAAGTCGATAATGAGAATTGTCAAACAAATCTGTTTGGATACAAGAAATTATGGAAGATTTTAATGATATATTTTGTTCTAAGATGTTTTTAACCATTAGAAAGCATTGCCCATTAAAGTCTTCTGATATATATATATATGCACTAAATGTTGTACTCTTTCTAACGAAAAAAAAAAAAGGAATCAAGTCTTTACAATATTGTATTACAATTTTGGATAAGAAAAAAAAGAAACAAAATTAATGAAGAATTTTTACTCTACTTACTGTTTATATCTGTAAAATATTTTTATTTTTTTTCTATTTTTAATTTAAGTCCATTGAAATATCTTTACAATATGATCAAGATCGACTTGATCAAATTAATAAAATGTGTAATAATATTCAATTAAATATCACCAATACAAATGATGATAAATCTAATCAACAAACTAAATTATCTATTCCATCTGAGTGAGTATTTCTATTCAAAAAAACAAAACAATCTTATTATCAACCTTTGCTTTTTATTTAATAGACAAATCTATATAACATTACGAACATTTCTTAATCAAGAATATAAATGTCGAATATCATTAGATAAGACAATATATGAATTAAAACAAATTTTTGGTAAACAAGAAAATCTTAATCCAAATCATATAACATTAACAAAATCTGGTAATTATTTTGATCAACTTGATGATAAACGAACATTAAAATCTTATGATTGTGATGCAACAACGATTCTTATGATTTGTATTCGAAAATGATTGTTATGTGCTCTTTTTTTTTTCTTCTCTGTTTTAAATTTATCTATGTTTAAAAGAGAAAATAAAATTTTGTCTAATACTTATTTGTATTTTTTCTTTCCTGAGTAAAAAGAAAAGAAATGAACATTTACAGAGAAAAAAAATAGGAAGAAAAAAAAAAAATTAAACAGTTTCTTCTTGTTCTTCATTATCATTTATATGTGTTCCACTTGTTTTGGGTACAAATACAGCTTCAACAGTAGGTGACTCATGATTTGTTAAATTTAATAAATTATTTTCAACATTCGTATTTAATGTTGTTGTTGTTGGTTTTGAATATTTTTTACGATGAGGTATTAAACGTTGATAAAATTTATTATTATTATTATTATTTGTTTCAATATGACTACTTGATGTTAATTGTCTTTGTCGTTTACGTTGCATACAAAGAAATACTGCTAATAATATTATAACAAAAATAAATATACTTAAGAAAATAATTAATAAAACAATGAATGGTAATTGATTTTGAAAAAAACCTAAGATAGATGAAGATTTAAAGTTTTGATCTACATTTTTATAAGTATGAGATGTATTTTTGGATAAGAATGATTGATTATTATTAATCAATGGAATATATTTTCGTAGACTTGGAGGATTAAGATCATCAGCGACTAAACATGATGATGATGATAAAGAACGAACAGAACATGTCCAAGAACGTTGTGGTGGTGGAGCTGGTATAACTGGTGGTGGTGGTGGAAAATAGCTTAGATAAGCAAATATTGATGATACATTAGGAGGGAAATCAATGCCATGTAAAATATCATAAGGTACGGATGAATGTGTTCGATGCATATGAATTTATTATTAATCGAATGATGGTAGTATCGATTTCGTTTGTATTTTTTTTTGTATTTTCGAATAGTTTGATAATGAAATGTATCTGTTTTGAAAACAATCATTCGTCATATAAGGAAAATGACATTATCATGATGATAGTGATTATTATCATCATCATATATTGCCATTTGAGATGAATGAAGAGACAAATATAAGTTAGAATGCGCATTTGCCGGCGGCATTCTCAGTAACATAGTTGAGTCGTTTCTGTGTGTTTATGTGTGTGCAAGAGAAGAACAAATATACGATCCCTGGCCTCAGCGGGATGGCAACGGCAAAGAAGAGAGTCCGGAGTTTCTTCTCTCTTTCTTCTTATTCTTATTCTCTCTCTTCTTTTTCTCACTCGTCATTATGATCGCATCTATCAGCGTCGTCGTCTCAAGAACATAGCCAGATGTTGGTTGTATTGTGTGCGTTTGCGCGACATTTTCCGTCGCAATGGATTCGATTCTTCTTCTTTTTTTCTTTTTCTTATTTTTTGACGAGCTAGATCATTTTCTTACATGTAGTCAGAGATATCTATATGTCGATGCTAGTAACACATCCCTCCATACAAATATATATAGAAACAGCTTGCATGCCAAAAAATAATGATTTTTATAAAACATGAATAGGTCAATTGATAAGAGTATAAAACAAAAGAAAAAAGAATTACGTTTTTTCTTTTATTGAAACTGTTTGAATAGAAATAAATAATTATAACAAAAAGAAAAAGAAAAACTATTTTTAATTTAAATCTGTATCAATTAATTATTAATTATTTGAAGATAATCCATTGGGTATTTCTAAAACACATCCTAAACCTATATCAATTTGTTGTTTTTAATGGATCTGAATAATAAACACTACCAATTCCACTTAATACTATATTTATTTCATCAATAGCTGTTATATAAATATTTAGAATTGCACTTGATATAATATGAAGTTTTTTTGTTAACAATTTCGACAATCAACATCACCAGCTCTTATAGATTTTAATGTAACTTCATCATTAACATGTCGACATAATTTAACACGACCAATTGAATGTAGATAAGCATTAAGTTTATCAACAGTTAATTTTAATTTTATTAAACCACTATCACGATGATATAAATGAAATAGATTTGGTTGTATTAAATTTACACATTGAATATTAATCTTACCATCAATAGAGAATTCATTTAATTGTTGATATATAATAAATAATGTTATATTTGTTTTATTAGATATATTTAAATTTTCTATCATACGTATTGTAAGTGTATCATTTTGTTCAATATCAATTGATATTAACTTATGTATTAATTATTCAGTTTCAACATCAACTGATGTATAACTATTGTTTACATTTGTATTATGATAAAGTTTGACATTAAATGAACCACCTAATAAATTTACTTTGGTAAATGTACGTGTTGTAAATAAATGAGTTTCACGAATAATTGAACTTGATGGTGATGATAATGATGAATATAGAGAGGATAAATCTGGCATAAAAAAAAATTAAAATTTCTTGGTGATTCACTAGTTAAATGAAATACAAAAATAAGATTAAAACAATAGAAGATCATTACTTATGATTTGTAGATGAACAATACATAGAAAATGATGAACAATATTTTAAATAAGCAAAGATTAAGCAAAGGATAGATCATAGATTTGGTTTTTTTCTCTTTAGATAAGAACAAAAAACTTATTGGATTGCAACAAGGAAAAGAAATATTTAAATATATAGCTAAGCTTGAAAATGAGTATGACATATAAGCAAATCAGAGAATAGCTATTAAGAGAGAGCCCTCGAGACCACTTATCAACTCAACTGTCGCTAAAGTTTTGATTCTCGATTTAGGTATCTTAAACGATAGATTATCATTCGACATCTCTAAATCCAAAATATTAGCTCTTGGACTTGCTTGTAAAAAATCCCACAGTACACAAGTGACACAGTCTTCGGCACTTGATTAAAAAATGGCGATTTTTTCGGTGCTCTTTGTATTTTGCATTTTTCTCTGCATCTGAACATTCGTTCGAGTTTGGAGACGTCTCAAAAGATGTAGAAATGTTTTCTCTACAAAAGTGAATAATTCGATATGTTCTACAATACTATTCACCAAGTGATAATCCTAATATACGGGTAAAGAATGCCCGTTGGTTAAAATGAAAATTTTCTAATATTTTGACTTGAGCCACGGTGGATCATGCTATCCAAAAATAATTCATATATTCTCTGAAAGCACTTGAAATTCTGTATCATATAAAATATTACTTCAATAGACTAAAACCCCGACGAAAAAACAAATTTGTTCATGTGATAGATGTTTATGGGTGATGACCCTCTCTAACCATGCTGACCCATGATTAGAATAGTAAATACTTTATTTTCATCCGAATCACAAATATGATCTCAGATTCTTAGTCAGTATGAAAAACTAAGTATAAAAATGTTGTTTTACTGAATGTAAAGTTAATCTAG